CCACTCGACCCCGTCGCCTCACTTGCCGCACTCTGGCCACCAGCAACGGCGCAGAACGAAGAGAAAAACTCATCGCGACACCTTTCTTGGACCCCTTGGATTCTGCTGGTTGAGTTGCCGCCCTTTGAAAGGCGTGCGACGACCTGAGACACTTGCGGTACGCTGCGCCTCCCCCGGGCCTGTTTAGGCACGCACCCTGTGAAAGTGCAAACAATAGAACACGCAATCACGGCGACAACAAAGAACTTGATGGGCGAAGGACGGCCGCATGCGAGATTGTGATCCGGGGATGATCGTGGAGGCATTGGGAGGGTGCACGACTTTTTGGGTGTTGCATGGATCGTCGGCCTATGACTCACGCCCGCCCTCACCGGAAACCGACACATCTCCCCTTGCCATCAGCTTCCGCCTCCGCGTTGCTTTTGTAGTCTGGACCCCATTTACACGTGTCTTCAACCCTGGAGTAGTTTGGTGCTGAGCCAGTTGTCGACAGTGACAGGGTCTTTACGCAGGTATAGTCAAGTGGGTCTTATCAGTTGATTGCGTGTCTAGTGAGCAAGGATATGTGTGAGTGAGCTTTCACTTTATTCCAATACGGACTTCTTTTTGCATACAAAAGTAGTGAAATTACTATGTTTGCTACTGCGCCTAGTGAATTATGCCATCAGACGCCTCTCGTTGAATGATGCTTCTCTTGAGATCAATCATGCAACGAACTGGATGTGCATCAAGCTTCCCAACATGTGGACTTGCATTTGAACAGAATGATGAATCTTGGTGAGCTATGGGCTGCTAGATATCTCATCTTTGGAAGCCTAAATTGCAGTTCACACTGGCATGCCTAACAGAGAAGGTGCACGATTTAAGTGTAGACTTCGAGTATATCTTATCAGAACGAGCACATTCTTACCGACTGCGATCACGAAATGTGGATTGATGGCGGGGATCGATGACTAAGGCAATCCGGGAACGGCGACAGTCGGCGCATCTAGACACGCCCGCGAACCAGTCCCAGCCCCCTACAAATTTACCACTGCACCTCGTTCTAAAAAAAAACTAAACAGGCCTAGAGCCTACATTAACGCTAGGTCACCTATCTTGTAGGTTTTTATGTTAATGTAGGCTGTAGACCTGTTTAGTTTTTTTCTTGATTGACGTGACTGCACGAAGATCACAGCAACTCACGTCAGCATTACCTTGTGACGTCTCTTGATGAAAGCGACGCGTTATTAGTCCTAGAAACCCTGGTTACGATGACTATCCTACCTACGGAGCAATTCGCATGACGCGCCGGACGCTGTTGCCAACCAGCATTACGCGACGGAAACCAAATGCAGTACGAAATTACGAAAAGAGACGATCTGATGACCTCCCCCGGCGATGTCAAAGTCTCAGCTTCGAAATCCTGCAACGCCATGCCTCTCACAACACCCTCTTCTTGAATTGAACGATGGGACCTTCACGAAGCGAGATGTACGCGTCCCTCAACTGGAAGTGACCAGGGTTCCTTTGGCCCCAGCCAAGATCGGGGCGGCCTTCTCCCACGTTCTGTCCAGGAGCCTGACGCACGTCGTATCTCCAGAGGGTCCTACCAACAATCATACAGAGTTGTACCATCGCCATCTTTTGGCCTAGGCAACTACCGACGCCCTTGGAGAAAGGATGGAACGATCGCTTCAGATGGTTCACCTCCTCTTGTGTGTTGGTGTCCGAGACTATCCATCTGTCTGGGCGGAAGGTGTTGTAATCGCCCCAAAGAGCTTCATTTCGACCGAGCGACCACTTCGGAACACCAATTATGATGCCGCCAGGAAGGTGTTCACCAGCGACCATAATGCCACCCGGAAGCACGGTGCGTTCAAGCTCACTTGGGCCAGCCGGTGAGAGGCGCAAGGACTCGTATACCGCTGCTCGGAGATACTCGCACTTAGCCATAAGATCCGGAGCTAAACCGATCTCTTCGACATCGTTGAAATTGTCCCTGATCTCATGAACGAGCTTTGTGTAGACCTTGGGGTTGCGAGTAATGAAGAAGAAGAGCGCGGTTACTGTTGCACTGGTTGTATCCGAGCCAGCAACTGTGAGCAAGTTTGCATCGGCAATCAAATTGTCGGTACTCAGCGCATAATCACCCGTCTCTGGATCCTTCGCCGTGCATAGAAAGTGGAACATGTCTTCTCGAGCAACTGGACGTTTCTCGGCCTCATTACTCCGTTCGGATTCGATTCGGCTTTTGGCCAGACCTTCCGTGAAGGCGAAGTAAGCTTTGATCTCCTTTGGAGTGATGAGCTTCATCAACGAATCCAAGCCGCGGGGCTTGAGCCAAAGCAACAGGCCTCGAAATGGGGATTTGGCGAGCTACGGCGGTCAGCAAGACAAGGTGCGGTGAGGAGCGGCGACGACTTACTGGGTTATAAAATCGCAAGTATCTAGTAATGTTGTGTGGGATACTCTTCAGGTCATTCAACCCTGGCTCCTTGGTGTTGTTGGAACTGCCGAAGCAGATGTCGCCGAACATGTCGAACAACAAGTAGTCAGCCCACTTGGTTAGATTCTGTGGTCCAGACCACCCCTCACCACCGAAGGTCTCGCCCGGCAGTAATTCGTTCCATCGATCGACATGTCGAGCCACGAAGGGCACAGTGGCCTTGACAGATTGCTCGGTAAACGCCAAAGAAAGAGCCTTTCTCCTTCGAGCATGCACTTCTACATCCGTACAGCCTAATGTGTTTAGGTCACGTTTATTCCGTCTCCAAACCTCATAGAATGGGGACTTTCTGACGTTGGCTTTGTGACCAAACATGGCGTTGTAAGCTTCCGGCGTCTGGAAGAGTAGGAGATTGGGAGTTGCCCGGAACTTGTCGCCTGCACGCAACATTAACGATATGGCTTAAGGGTCGAAGCCTGACACACGTACCGTAGATCTGGAACTGCCTCCAAGACCAGATGTGGCGGTCTCCTTTACAGGCATGGTAGAAAGAGGGTATGCCGGAGATGCGAGCAAAGAACGGTCCCGGCTGCTTTGCGAGAGGGTGGAACCATAGGTTGTATATCGTGGAGTACATGAGCTATCCCATGTAAGTTGAGACCGTGTATTAATGTGGAGTATACTGACATAGATGGCAGCTACGCCAAGAATGAGCGGGACAGTGACAGTCATGTTGGAGAGTTCTGATAAATTGTAACGGTTGATACTACGGAAATCAAGACTCCATGAGACTGAACTTTATATCTTACCGCTCCGAGCCTTCTCAACGGCCTCCAGGGCTTCCGCAAACCCCGCGAGACACGCTCGAACCGCCTGGGCACACTATTTCGTCCCTCAATCTCCACCTCAGACGGCCCGCCACCATACCAAGATGAAGCTTTCCCATGCGCCTTTTGCACAATTCAGCACAATCTGTCGCGACGTGTCGGGCGTACCTTCCATCTGACCACCACTCACTCCTTCGACTTCTTTTTATGTCTTCAACGCAGCCCCAACCCGCTACTTTCGACATACTCCCGATGCCATACCATCCCAACTGAGAAAGTTCATCGCTATCAACAATCATCCGAGCATATTGGGCGAACTAGTGCTATATCAGCGGGGCGGGGTTTGACAGTGCGGTAGCCCTTAACGCCACATTTCAATACACCCGTACGCACATGGCCCCAAGCCAACGATGGTTTAAGACGTCCCGTCGTCTTGCTTTTGGCGAGGTTATAAGCGCGATGTATGTTTTGAGTATAATGTCAAACTGCACGTAAGCGAATGTGGCTATGATAGTCATTCTTCAAGGTTAGGTCTCATCGCGGCATAATGGGTTGTAGGGTTTGCAGTCATCCAGCGTTCGCTCAGCTTCAAGTCGCCGACCCCGACGACGACCAAGTTATACTCATTTTGTAGCTCGGGCGCCTATTGAAGGGGCTCATCTTGGGGGCCACCTCATACACCGGACAGGCCTGGGGCCTACATCGACGTTAGGTCGCCTACTTTGCAACTGTCCATGATGATGTGCAGACCTATTCAATCTTTTCCTAGGTTGATTTACTATCATCAGTTGTAGGGAGAATAAGGTCCTTCGCCAAGTCAACTCCAATCTCGCGCTATAACGTTCGCTACGCCTATGGGCCATTCGCACTGGACAACCTCTCCGGTCGCATTATGGCACCACGCGACAGATAAAGAATGCAGCACTCCGGCACAGTCGATAAAACGAGAGGATTTTCGCATGCGAGCGTTTTCTATTGGACCATGGATGAGTTATGCCCAAGCACTCGGTACGGGATAAATACGGCTCCAGGTTCAACATCCAACGGGCGGCTCGCGCCTGCGCTAACACCAGCCCCAATGGTCGCACAGCCCCGCCCCCACAACAACGATCCTACCGGGAAGGAAAGAGCAACCCACAGCTTAACTAAGAGCTAACGCACTTACTATCTGCACCAATTCGGACATACCGAGAACAGCCTCACATATGGGGATTTTGATCCTGCTCGCTTATGCATGGGGCCGAAACCAAAACCCCGTTTGATTGCGGCGTTATGTGATACCGCGTCCCCGGTATAATCAGCTTACTTACTATAGACTCGCGCCATGGCACGGCAAATGGGAGGCATAAATTGTTACATCGTCGGGCTGTCAATACTCGAATAGTACTCTTCGCCGTACGCAGATGGAGAACCGCATTTTCACGACCAGTGAATGGCACGGTCTTATCGAAAGAGCAAGGGAAACGCCATGCTTGCATACAATACGTGGCACAGTCGTCAGCCCCTGGCTGAAGCACTCTTATAATCCCATTATCCTTTTCACCTCACACATTTCCACAGAAGCTATGCAAGTCGTACCTGACTTTGTGGTTCGCACTTTCCTTGGTCACCTAGCAACAGCAGCGACAAACAACGCGCCTGCCTCTCTGGACCCTTAGTGAAATCTCTTGCGCTTTCACTCCTGCACTTCTCTCCCGCTCTGTTTCACTCACCGCACCTCAATTCCACACTTTCGTTGCCAAAGCATGACCATGTCTTCTACTCCCAAGGACGATGCCGTACTGGACAACTCGAGTGCCGAGAAGGCGTCGACAAATACTCCCGCCCCCGATGAAGCTGAGCCGGTGGTAGCGACTGATGAATCGAAGTACATCACAGGCCTGAAGCTCTACCTGATCAATGCTGGTCTCACGATCTCGATCTTCCTCGTTACTCTCGAATCGACCGTCATCAGCACTGCCATTGTGGACATCACCGATGAACTGGGTGGCTATGAGAAGAGCTCATGGCTTTTCACGGCATATATGCTGACCTACTGCAGTAAGCACTTCCTTACCCTCACAGACTGACCACTTCGCTAATCCTGTCCAAGGTCTCCAGATGATCTGGGCAAAGCTCTCAGACATTGCAGGACGGAAATACACCCTCATCGCTTCGCTACTTATCTTCACCATCTTCTCGGCGCTTTGTGGAGCTAGTCAGACCCTCATCCAGCTCATCATGTTTCGATGGTGTCAGGGTATCGGCGGCTGCGGTGTGTACGCACTCACTCAACTCATGTTCATGGAGATTGCGCCACCAGGCAAGCTACCGAAGTACATGGCAGGTGTTAGTATGGTGCTCGCACTCAGTCTGATTACGGGACCGCTTCTTGGTGGCGGCATCACGCTGCATGGTAGCTGGCGCTGGATCTTCCTTTTGAAGTATGTACATGTCATTGAAGAACCTTCGTCAACGTACTAACATTGGTGCAGCGTTCCTGTCGGAGTTCTTACTGCTGTATCACTTTGCTTCACACTTCCAAGAACGCTGTTCAACGAGCCAGCTGCGCAGCAGACATACCCGATCTTCTCAAAGCACTCCCTCAATCGACTTGACTTCCTTGGAGCGACGTTGATGCTCGGTACTCTCGTGTTACTCGCTACAGGTCTCCAACAAGCGTCGCTGGACTATGCGTGGTCTTCCAACAAAGTCCTTCCTCTACTCGTCGTTTCCGCGCCTTTCGCCGTCGCGTTCTTCACGTGGCAATGGTACATAACGCAGCGTCGCACCAACCCCGAGCCCGTCTTTCCGTGGCGCTTCTGTCAGAGCCGCATACAGCTCGGCATGATCATGTAAGTCCACAACTTTGTATCCTCATCATGCGTCATTCTGATGTAGACATGCAGAAATACCTATCTCTCCGGCACGGTTATGTTCGTATGCATTGCGCAGATCCCTCAACGTTTTATCACGGTCAACGGCCTCTCTCCCCTTGCCGCCGCCGCCCGACTCCTCACATACGGCGCTTTCGTGCCCTTTGGCAGTGGTATCGCTGGTGCGATGATGGGCAAGCCCAGGATACCGCCATGCTGGATCATTCTCGGTGGCTCCTTGATGGAGATCCTCGGTATTGCATTGCTGTCGCAGATCGATACTTCGTCGCATATCGATGCTAGTCAGTATGCGTTCCAGATCATTGCCGGAACGGGAACTGGTCTTGTCAACTCGGGACTCATCCTACTTGTGCCGTACGCGATGGATAAGAGGGATTTGGGTAAGCTATGCACTACATTTACGCACGCATGAGTTCAAGGCTTTCGTTTACTAACGACTACCAGCCGTTGGCTCAGCAGCTACATCGCAGTTCCGCACCCTGGGCGGTCTAGTCGGTATCGCTATCGTTACATCCATCTCCACACCCTACATCCGCTCCCATCTGACCGACATCCTACCCTTGGAGCTTGCAGAGAGCCTGCTAGAAAGGACGGAGTTAGTGCAGACTCTTTCACCGGAAACGTTGGAGCGTGTGAGGCAGGTGTTTGGTGAAGCGTATAACCTACAGGTCAAGGTACTAATCGGGTTTGCGGTCGCCAAGGTGCCGGTCACGGGTATGATGTGGACAAACTTGAGGGTGGAGAGTAAGTGAGCGGGCGAAGATCGGCACGGAGCTTCAGCGATGATGATTATATTTGACGAATACGTCGAAGTGTACATTGTTGTATCCCAACGTCTTAGAAGGCCCCGAAGGTACTCAGTAGCTTCGGATACATAGACCATTGTGGTCAAGACATCACAGCCATTCACTACGGGCCTGTTTTCACTGAAGTAATTCCAGATATGATCGGAGACACTCTATCATTCATAGACCTCCGATCGCTTCGCAAAGACTGCCTTGGCTACGCGCACATGCTGACCTTCTATTTCCATCAACTCAGTAGAAAGTGCTAGCTCAAGTCTGAGTCATCTTCCTCGGCCTCGAAGTCCTCATCGTCATCCTCCTCCTGCTCATCAAAATCCATATCCTCATCGCTGTCAAAGAAATCGTCGTTGGACAGCTTGAACGCATCATTTCTAGCCTCCGTTTCCTCAGCCTTCATCTTCTCCAGCTCAATCTCATGAGCCTGTCTCATTCGCGCATGCTCGTGTTCCTGGCGGGCGACGCGTCGCGCCACGACGGCCATGATCGCGTCTTCACCGTAATCCGGGCCCAAGGTGCGCAGAATGTTGTTGATGTCTTGCTGTGTGATAGGATCGCCAGTAGGTTCGAAGAGTAGGCGTTTGCATGTTGGACATGTGTTACCGACCTCGAGCCAGGCGTCTAGGCATTGCTGACCGACGATGTGGCCGCAGGCGGCGATTCGCACAGCACGGTGAAGCTTGGACTCCGCGGGTTTACTCTTCGTAGGATGGAGGGCGAGAGGATGGCGGCAGATGGTGCAATCTTGCGATGCGTGCGCGTGCGACTGTTGGACCGGCTCGAGACCCAGGCTGTTGAACATCTCTTTGCTTGCGAAGACTGTCATTTTGGATCTGAGAAAGCTGAAGTATTCGCGAGTGTGTTATAAGTCACGGGGGGTTCAGTTCAGTTTCAAGGCGGGTGGTATGTGACAAGGTGAGAGTGAGAATTGTCGCTGGTCGCACTTTCTCGAAATGGAGCAATCGAAGTGAAGTAGTGCACGGTTGTCGCATCGATTATCTGTGATTGCTACCAAGGTAGAATGGTCTGAACAAGCGCGGGTGCGCTGGCTTGAGGATATAAATCTCTTGGAATTACATTATGAGCTTGTCGCATTGGCCAGAACAGTGTGTATCGCCTGCCTACCATGGTTCAGGACAATTATTCCACATCACAGTAGGCGACCGGCATCTATCAACCAAAACATTGCGTGCAGCCCTCACAGAGAGAGATGGGTCTCAGTGGCGTCTACTTTGATATGCATGAATTTAGAATTCGTTGGATATCTTTAGGAGAGGCGTTAGCGTTTAGCAATACAGCTGGAAGGTAGTACTTACAAAGGTCTTTTGTCGTCATAGGCTGTGGATATCAACAGATAACTTAAAGAAGACTCACAAATCTGCAAATGACTGTCGTCAAGCTTCCCTCCGAGATGCAGCGGGAACCTTGAGGTTGCGTCTTCGCACGGTTCATCAGTCCTGTGTCCACTGAGACAATAGCATACATGTGTGCCTCTTGAAACGCAATAATAACCCAAGCTCGCAGTTTGCGCGTCAACTGCAACGTGTTATGAAAGTGAAAGCGTTGACAAGTTCGAGGCCGTGACGTCGTGCCGTGAAAAGGGCTGACACGTCATACAAAGAAAAATATTGAACAGGTGCTCTGCCGTATACATTAGTATAAAAGTTGAAGCTTACACATTCCCCACAGCAATGTAGACTCCTAGGAGGTACGTGTTTAGGTTTTTCCTTGTACGAGGTGCTGAGCCATCTAGAAGATGGGAGGCTGGTCTCGGGAAGTTTGTTGAAACGCTAACTGCTTTCTGGTTAGCGTCAAGGCACCCATCGGGCCCGGGTGTTCATCGACGGTACCAGCGACCGTGGAACACACGAAGGACAGATGTACTGAGCTTGCATACCTGGCCTGTACATAAGATAACACCGCCGCGTCCCGACTGCAAGTTCACATACCCTCAACGATATGGCTGATTTACACCGTTACCGCTCTACGCCAGAGGGGGCACTCGCATGGAGTAAAGAACCTCGAATGCTATTACTTCGGTCACTCTACGGACAATACCACAACCCTAAGGCCTCCCATTCCTCGAATATAGCAACCGAAAATGAACTGCACGACCTTTTCGACATCTGGAACAAGCGCCCGAAGGTAGAGCCACCCTACTCTTGTACAGAGCGTTCAGCAGTCGAAGCATGGAGACAGCAGGTCGAACGGCAGGTGAAGACACGTATATCCAGCTACCGCTGCACGGTATCAAACACACAAGACACTCTTCCCTGTTTGGAGCTTAGTGTTAGAGGCTATACCAGTACAGAACATCGGATGTTCCGGATCCCCGAGTTACTAGACGCCATACTTCATTTCGCTGGACCTGTGGCGCAAATCCGCGCGTTGCGCGTATCAAAGGGCTGGCACAGAAGCGCAATGGCCGTTATCAGCAGTTGCAATACCGCTGTCCCATTCCGGGCATCACCGCTTTGCATGCCGGCAGAGCACGGAAAGCTTATCGATGAAGACGTCATGGCACCTCTCCAGCCCAGTTCTGATGAGATGAAAAGATTTGAATTGGATTTCGAACGTGTCTACGAGAAGTGGGGCGGGAAAGGAAGCGGGGCTCTATACTTCCCCGCCAAGTGTGCTCAGAGGCGCGACCTCCCCGGTCCCTTGTCTGAGACCCTCAATCGTCTAGACAGTACCCAACCCAGCGATGCCTTTCCTTGGAATTACCGAGTACGTGTATCTCGTGAGACAGATATATACTGGTTGGACCTGAGCCAGTTCGAGGTGAACCCATACCTTGAAGCTCTCTTCGCGGAAGAACACCAGAGCAAGCATCGTCTCGGTAGATGGGAGATCTGCTTGAGGGCAGCGGCAAGCCCGCAAACACTTCTGCTCAACCCTCTCCTCTCGAACAAAGCCCTGCTGGATGCCCTTGGGTCTATGCACGTCACGTCACCACCCTGCCGAGCTTTAGGCATTTACCATGACGACTTTTGGAAAACGCATCCGAACGGCCGTAATACACTTCTGTTTAGGATCAGAAACGATCAAGGTGTACGCGTTTCTGAGCTTCTCGACGCACTGCAAAGATTCGCACCTGTTGTCCTGGAAGCTTGGTTCAGAAGTACTGAATGGCTTGTTGGTGAGATACCACAGGCGCACTGGATTGACGATATCTGGAGAGTACCTGGCGCACCCACGATTCGAATATATCTAGACAACGTGGATATGTCAGATGATGTCCACATGTTCAGTACAAGTGATTCGCTAGAAGAAGTTAACGCATGGTCGACGGCAAATCCATTGGTACTCGGCTTGTCAAGCCACATCACTCGCGCTGCTCTGATGAAATCAGAACCCTTGCGGAGATCAAGGGAGATGGAATGGATATCTGAAGATCTTATCGAACCAGCAGAAAGCACTACCGGTCGGCATCCCATCAACTGGGAGATTTGATGAAGTTGGTTGAGGCTGCATGGAAACTGACGAATACTGCAAGAGCGTGTTTCAGAGGCTCTTTCCCATGCAATACATCGCTTTTGGCAATGGGCCACGTGCGTCACGAGGTCTATTCATTCCCTTAAGATCTGGTAGAATAATTATTAATTATTAATCGTCTTTACAAGTACACATGTTGCCGCAGAATCCAGGTGTGTTCCAAATATGCCGTAGAAAATGTTAGTGATTCTGTGGCGCCTTACCGTTTACAAAGGTTTGTTCAACCCACTCACACACCGTGACTTGCCCCCCGATCCATACGCATACTCTCTTCCACTACAGGGCCACTCTTGGTACTTTCGAGCAAGTAATTACCAGTCTTGCGCGATTCTTTCTCGGCCTTCTTGGCCGCCTTCCTCTCCTTGCGCGACGGAAATTCGCTTCCAGACCCTTTCAAGACGATACCAGGATGTACCGCTGCCAGCAACACCAGAGCCAGCACCATCGGTACAGCATCCAATCCCAACACATACCCCTCCGTGCCAACGAGAACGTTCGTCGCACCCTTGACTCCAGCCGAGAACTCGATCAACCGAAAGATGATACGCGTCGTGATGAGCACAAGGACAGCATACAGCGTATACGTCAGCAACTTCCAACGCACTGTACCTGCCCTTCGGTCACTCTCCGTATCCTCCCGACCTTCGCGCTCCACCCTCAGCATATCCAAATGAAACCTAATAATCAACGCCAAAAACATCAAAATGAAGACCTGCTGCACACCCACACCAACCATATACACGTTCTTCCCGTACCCATTGGTCTTAGCACCAGCCTGCGGGTTCATCATCACTCCACCCGCAGCCTGAACAATGAAACTGAAGATATCAAGCCCCACGAACCAACGCCCTATCTTCACCGCTTCGATACGCCATAGCTTCTTCCGCGGATGCAAGAAGTACACCAGCCGGCCCGCAGTCATATACACGAAAGCGTTGATCCACAGTGGCGCTAATAGGAAGAGCAGTGTAGACAAGATAACCAACGCTTCGTTCTGCTGGTTTCGAGTGCCGAGCGCGCGTAGGATGAAGGAGACAAACTCCCAGATTGCTCCTGTGATGAGTACCCAGCAGAAGCGCTTTCGATGGAGGACTGCGAGGCCGATGTGTGCGACTGTGAGGAGGCCGAAGAGGAGGGCGAAGACTATGGCGGCGGCGAGGGAGGGGTTGTATTGGTAGAGCGCGTTGCAGGCGTAGGGTGGGACGTGACCGTTGGAATCGGGGATGGCGGTGATGCATGCGGGTGTGGTGGGAGTGCTGGAGGGGGCTGTTGACGACGGCATGGTCGGTAGAGTTACTTGATCGTTGTGTTACAGCGGACTGGTAAAAAACGAACTCTGTTCTGGGATATCGAAGCGAATGTGTCAGAAAGGTGGCAAAAGCACCATGAACATCTTTATGTGGTCATGCTCCGCGCGTGACATCTCTTTGTTTTCGTCCACGCAGCATTACCCG